ACCAGTTTGAGCTCCAGGAGTAACGGTCCAATCAGACGCCTCCTGGGGCCGGTTTTAAAACAAAAAAGCTGCCACCTGATTGGCCGAAAACATCCCGACCAGAGTTTTATTTCATCGTTGTGGTTTTAATTTAACTTTTTTAAACTGAAGGGATTTGTAACACGAGCGTCTCCATCACAAATCTTTATTTTTCTTTTCACCCACGCTACAACTTACTGTGTAACTAAAAGACTTTTGTTTTTGTTTGTGTAATGCATGATTAATACAATAAAAGTATTTTTTCTAGTCTTCCAGAAAAATGGAAAAAAAAAGATCAGTTTGCGAGTTTTGATGAGTTTTGTAATTTTTCTTTTTGATTTACAAACTATGAAACAGCAGATTTGAAAGATTGTACCACATAGCAGAATACAACTGTTGAAATGTATATAAAATGTCTATAATAACTATTAAATGGTGTACCTGTACAGAGGCTGCTGCTCCGCTCTTCATTCTGTGTCAAATATGCGTCGAAATAAAAGCTCAAGACTTCAGTTAGATATTCCGTTGATCTTTTAATGACCTTTCTGACGTCCTTGGGATCAATTTGATCTGTTTTTTTATGTAAGTGGAGGGTGTTTCTCAATGTCGAGGAAGGATGCTTCAGAGCCACTATTTAAAGGATGCTACGTCATCGAGTCCCGCCGACGGCTAGGAAGGATTCTTGCATCGCTTCTGAAGGACCTGACTCGGAGGGACTTGTCCTACCAAGGAAGCGTCCTCGACATTGAGAAACATCTACTGTGAAGGGTTCTTTCATCCAATCGCCACAAAAATTACTTGGATGGTTTCATACTACATTCTAGATAAGAAAAATGATTGGTTACTACTTGAGTTATCGCTTTTGTAATTCCAATTTAAAGCATTTGTTGTCTTCCCGGGTCAATTTAGATAGAATTTCTGTCTCAACTTGTAACGTTTGATCTTCTAATCTTAAATATTGTCCAAAATATTCAAACTTTTTGCCTTACAATGTGGATATATTTTTAGTTAATTAGTCCTATTGTCCGAAAAGTGAAAACGTGTATTGATGAGATGAAAGGTCTAACACAGGATTTTGTGATTTAAAAGAAACCCTAGAAAAACCGGACCAGTTCAACAAGTTGCATAAGGCCGGGACCACAAAACAAAGTTTATTAACATTAAAGGTGGGGTAGGTAATTCACTTCAGAAACACTTTTTGTTATATTCCATGGAATGCTCTTAACATCCCGATAGCAATGAATACATAAAAAAAATGTCATCTGTGGAAGCCGTGGCGCTGTAAAAAGCACGACCAATCATCTGAGCCGGCCCGGCTAAAGTAACTGGATGGCCTACCTGCCTGTCAGCCTTCCATCTGGGCACACATTTATCTCGTGCCCTCATTGGTCATGTGCGCGTTCGTGTGTGTTGGAGGAGGGGCTCTGTGAGGAAGTCTGAAGGAAGGGGCAGATTTTTTTCGGCTGCGTACTTTCAAATTCCAGCGCACTCGAGCTGGTTTCTCCATTCTTACCTATATTGACAAAAATATGTGAACACCTCTGACTAATTACTTTGGGTCTGGTTCATTATTTACTGGTTTGGACCCTTTTCCGATTCACTAAACAAAGGTGATGCTCCAAGAAATAGTATTTTATTATCCGAACCTGTGTGTTTGGTGAACCTGAATGTTCATAAGAATAAGATTTATGGGATATAAATAAATCAAAAACGTATTCTAATACAACAAGAAACTAGGATTATTTGAACAAGAGAGTTTGGAAAATGTTGTTGAACGCAGGTTTTAAGTATATTAGTAATACATTTAGGGAGACTTTAATAATTCAAGATAGAAACAGTTATTTGATGAAGTGTTGATATTCAAGCATACATTCTTCAAGAAAAGTATAAGTTTTGATAAATATATAATTATATAATCTCAGTGTCTATCACAGCGAGTGTTTGACGGCGTGGACGGCCTCGATGACGGTGTTTCTCTCGATGACGAGGTGGTGGGGGGCGCGGTAAAATTAATTGGATAGAAATTAGGGCTGCTCGATTATGGCAAAAATCATAATCTCGATTATTTGGGTCAATAATTGATATCACGATTATTAAAAACGATTATCCATTTACTTTGAAAACATCCATTTATTGAAAACAAATTGAACAGTATGTTTTTAACAGTTGATAACCCTGAACTTTAACTATATTACAACTTAAGTAAATAAAATAATCGTTTTATTTCGATTAATCGTTCCAAGCCAAAATCGTAATTGCGATTAAAATACGATTAATTGAGCAGCCCTAATAGAAATAGAAATGTGGTTGAACGCAGCTTTTAAGAAATCAATTTCACAATAAATTCAGGGAAACTCTTTGTAATATTTCAAGAAAGAGAACACAGTTATTAGAATGCATGACCACGTGATGATATTCAGTTTTTATATAATCTCAGTGTCTCTGTCACAGCGCGTGTTTGGCGGCGTGGACGGCCTCGATGACGGTGTGTTTCCTCTCGTTGTCGGGGTGTTTCCTGTGGTTCTCGGGGTGTGTGGAGGTGGTGGGGGCGCGGTACACGCTGAGCAGAGGGTGGGCCTCCTCCAGGTCGTTGTCAGTGAGTGTCATGGCGTCCAGGTGCTGCCTCAGCAGGACCCTCAGCTGCTGGTTCTCTCCCATCAGAGCGTCTCTGTTCCTCCTCAGAGCTTCTCTCTGCAGCAGCGAGGTGTTCATGCTCAGCGTCACGTGACACAGCGCTGACATCTCCTGCAGACACAGAGGACAGTGAAGGCAACATTTCACCTTTTGATTCATCACTTTGTTTTTCAAAGGAAGTAAATCCACTCAATGTGTTTTTTCTTGATTATTCCAGTCGTTGAACTTTTGAAATGTATTTATGGATTATAGACTTTTGTTTAATGGAGAAACATCCAGAGAAACATCCAGAGAAACATCCAGAGAAACATCCAGATAACCAACAACAAAGTCAGAACCCTAACCAGTATTCAAAGTAGAGCTGGGCAATATGGAGAAAGTCAAATAACCCAATATTTCCCGTTGACCAGATAACCTTAATGACCTTTATTGTGTTGTGATAATACTGTAGGCTTTGCTGTTGATACCTACAATCATCAGTAATGTTGATTTAGTGACTGAGTGGATAAAGGGAAATGTTGGAAAGGTTAAGATATCCTTAGCTCTGAATCACATCCTACCTTCCCTGGTTCCTTTCCTGGTTCCTCCCCTGGTTCCTCTGCCTCAGCTCCAGTCTCCTCCTGCCTCTGTTCCTCAGCAGGGATCAGTGAAGAGATTGTCCTCTGCTCGCTCTCCATCTTACGACACATTTCAGCCACTCGTAAGACCTTCTGACCCTGGATCAGCACAGAAATCAGTGTTCGGGAAACCATATCTTCTCACAGGGGGGAAATGGACAGTGCAGATAAGAAGGTAATCATACATTCCAGAAATAAATAAGTATACATCTGAGGCAAAAAATCATCCCAATACCCCTCCTCGACTCCTCCTTTCCCTCACTCGCGTCCCTTCCTTGCATCTTAGCTCCGCCTCCGTAAGATGCGAGCGAGAGACACGAGGAGGTGACGTGAGGACAGAGGAGTCCTCAGGTATTCATTGGGATGTCCTCGTTCACTCAAACGTCACTCTTAAACGACGTGTGTTAATGATGACATGTGCACAGCTGTATCCCCTCTCATCGGGCTGAACTGAATAACCCTTTAGAACCGGACCATTTCTGGTTAAATATTTATTTAAATGAATGAATCTTTCTCTTGTTAGTCAAGGAATTCAATGTATGACGGTTGGTCCTGCTTTTGTGTTCCGTGTTGGTGTAAAATGTAGCCTACATTTAAATACAAATATAATTATAGTAATGTGAAGCCTTTTAGAAATGAATTGCACATAATAATTCCCACGGAGTTGTGAGCACTTATACATTTATGTGACGCTTTTCCACTCATCTTCCAGTTGTCGATTTTTTCTCTGTTGAAATGGACCAGCTGTGAAGGTGGGAGCGGGGCCAGGTGGGGGCGGGGCCAGC